TGTCCGATCACCTGAATCTGGTGCGTGAAGGGTGCGCCTGGTCGGCGGCCGCTGCCTCTTCTAGTGGCCGCCACGCGGCTGTGTGGGAGAAAATACGTCGGCACTGTCCCGAGGCTCCTCCTACTTTCGAGTGGGTCCCTGCGCACAGAGAGCTCTCGGAGGTTCTGGAGGCCCCCGAGTGTGACTTTGTCCGTTTCGTTGCTAACGAGTGGGCTGACTTTTTTGCCAAGCGCGGGGCCCAGGTGCATTCAACGGGCCAGACCATGCAGGATTATTTTAAGCAGGCCATGAAGGCGGCCAAAGATCACTCGCAAGTTTTTGCCTGGATGGCCCAAGCGGTCGCCAAAAAGAATGCTGAGCTCCAACCTAGGGAAGTCGTGCCGCCTCAGGTTTGCCGAGGCGTCGCCGCCCCACAGGTTGTGATTGACTCGCATGAGTTTCGTTTCTGTGAGAGGCTGTCTGAACACAGGTGCCTGAAGTGCAACAGGTTTGCTAGGACGACCGAATCCTTGAAGGCCCTTCGAGCGAAGCGATGCGAGCCCACGGACCTTGCGAGAGCGATGGCAACGCGTTATTTTGCCCTCACCCCCGAAGTTTATCGGCACGCCTCGCGCGCGGTGGACGTCGCCGTGCGTGCTGCTGGCCTTGATGAAGGCCTAGGGCCCTCTGGAGGCCCATGCGAGGGTGGTGGAGTGGGGGCTGACGTCGTCGCCGTCGGGGTCGACCGGGAGGTGGAATTGTACTCGGAGCTCGGCCACGGGATGGAGCGATTTGGCTCCACGGTCATCTGCCTCGGTTGCGGGGCGTTTAGTGTGGCTGGAGGCCGCAATCGGAAGCTGCGTGCCCAGTGCAGAGGCCATTCGGACGTAGTCTCTACGCGTGCGAACGAGGAGATGCAGATCTCACGTGCGATGCGCGGGCTGCACCCCAGGTCGGGGGACCCTTGCCCATGACGACCTCGACGCCAGGTCCCCTCTGTCGGCTTTCCGACGTGGTGGGGACGGTGCTGTCGAGGTCAAGCCGCGCGGTGCGATGGTTCGACGCCTCGCCGTGCGGCTCATCAATTTCTTCCCGCTGATGCGGGTCCGTACGCTCGGACTCGCCCTTCATCGCTCGCTACCTCCTCCTCCTCCTCCTCCTCCTCCTCCTCCTCCTCCTCCTCCTCCTCATCTTTCCCTCCTCATACCTCCTCCTCCTCTCTACCTCCTAACCTCCCCTCCTCCTCCTTCTCCTCCTCCTCCTCCGTTCCTCCTCCTCCTCCTCCTCCTCTCCTCCTCCTCCCTCCCTCCTCCTGCCTTCCCTCAATCCTCCTTCTCTCCTCCTTCTCCGTCCTCCCCTCCTCCTCCATCCTCCTCCTTTTCCTCCTCCTCCTCCTCTCCTCCTCCTCCTCCTCCTCCTCGCCTCACCCTCCTCCCTCGTCCCATCTCCTCCTCGTCCTCCTCACCGTCCTCCTTCTCCCCTCCTCCTCCTCATACCTTCTCATCCTCTCATCCTCCTCCTGACTTTCCCCCCCTCGTCCTCCTCTTCATCATCAGCACCAGCATCGCCAGTACCAGGATCATCACAGCACATCATCACATCAACCTCATCCATTATCCCTCGCGCCTTCTCCTCATCATTTTCTCCTCCTCCCCTCATACCTCCTCCTCCTCAATCGTCATCCTCCCCTCCTCCTCCGCCTCCCCCTCCTCCGCCCTCCTCCTCCTCCTCCTCCCCTCCTCCTCGCTCCTCGTCCCTCCTCCTACCTCCTCCTCCTCTCCTCCTCCTCCTCCTCCTCCTCCTCCCCCTCCTCCTCCTTCTCCTGTTCCTCCTCTTCCTCCTCCTCCTCCTCCTCCTCCTCCTCCTCCTCCTCCTTATTATTAGTATTATTATTAGTATTATTATTAGTATTATTATTATTATTATTAGTAGTAGTATTAGTCGTATTATTAGTAGTAGTAGTATTATTATTAGTAGTAGTAGTATTATTATTAATATTATTACCATTGTGAATATTATTATTATTATTATTAGTAGTAGTATTAGTATTAGTCGTCTTCTCATCCTCCTCATCCTCCTCATTCTCGTCCTCCTCCTCTTCCTCTTCATCCTAATCGACAGCAGCATCAGCATGGGCATCATCATCATCATCATCATCATCATCAGCAGCAGCATCATCATCATCATCATCAGCATCATCATCATCAGCATCATCATCATCATCAGCATCAGCATCATCGTCATCATCAGCATCAGCAGCATCATCATCATCAGCATCAGCAGCAGCAGCATCAGCATCATATCCGCCTCATCATCAGCAGTAGTCGCATCAGCATATGAGTCGTCAGCATCCTCATCAGCATCATCATCCTCATCATCAGCATCATCATCAACATCATCATCGCATCGGCATCATCATCATCATCATCAGCATCATCATCGTCATCAGCATCATCATCATCATCGTCATCATCATCCGCATCCTCATCCTCATCATCCGCATCCTCCTCCTCCTCCTCGGTATGCTCCTCCTCCTCCTGCCCATCCTCCTCCTCGTCTTCCTCCTCCTCCTCCACCTTCTCCGCCTCAACATCATCCTCATCAGCATCATCATCATCAGCATCATCATCATCAGTATCATCAGCAGCAGCATCATCATTAGCAGCAGCAGCATCAGCAGCCGCGTCCTCCTCCTCCTCGTCCCTCTCCTCCTCATCATCCTCCTCATCGGTGTCCCTCTCCTCCTCATCCTCCTCCTCCTCCTCGTCCTCCTCCGCCTCCTCCTCCTCATCCTCCGCCTCCGCCTCCGCCTCCTCCTATTCCTCCGCCTCCGCCTCAGCCTCCTCCTCCTCCTCCTCGTCCTCCTCCTCCTCTTCCTCTCTCCCCCTCGCCCTCCGCCTCCCGCCTCCTCTTTCCTCCCCACATTCCTCATCATTCTCCTGCCACCTCCTCATCCTCCTCCTTCTCCAATGCCTCCTCCTCCTCCCTCCTCCTCCTCTCCGCCTCTTTCTCCTCCTCCTCCTCCTCCCTCCTCCTCATCCTCCTCCTCCTCCGTTTCCTCCTCCGCTTCCTCCTCCTCCGTTTGTCATCCTCCTCCTCCTCCTCCTCCTCCTCCTCCTCTTCCTCCTCTTCTTCCGCCTCCTCCTCCTTTTCATTATCCTCCTCCGCTTCCGCCTCCTCATCCGCCTCATCCTCATCATCATCATCCTCCTCATCATCATCCTCCTCCTCAGCATCATCATCATCATCAGCATCATCAGCATCAGCATCATCATGATCATCATCATCATCATCATCATCATCATCATCAGCAGCAGCAGCAGCATCATCAGCATCACCATCAGCATCAGCATCCTCCTCTTCCTCTTCCGCCTGCTTCTCCTCCTCGTCGGTTTGCGTTTCCGCCTCCTCCTCCTTCTCCTCCTCCGACCTCTTCCTCCGACCTCCTCCTCCTCCTCCTCCACCGCCTCCCCTCCTTCTTCTCATCGGTCTGCTCGTCCTACTCCTCCTCCTCCTCCTCCTCCTCCTCCTCCTTCATCCTCCTCATCCTCCTGCTCCTGCTCCTTCTCGTCATCATCATCGTCATCATCATCATCAGCATCATCATCATCATCATCAGCAGCATCATAATCATCATCAGCATCAGCATCATCATCATCATCATCATCATCATCATCATCATCATCATCATCATCATCATCATCATCATCATCATCATCATTCCTCCTCCCTCCTCCTCCTCCTCCTCCTCCTCATCCTCCTCCTCCTCCTCCTCCTCCTCCTCCTCCTCCGCCTCCTCCGCCTCCTATGAAGAGGCCCCTCATGGGTCCCAGCAGGCTGCGACCCAGTCGGAGACCGCCCCTGCTGCTGCTGTCTTGTGGCCTGAGCTGGCCCCTTGGCCCGCCCGGAACCATTCGGTTTTGGAGGCCGCGGTCTTCGACTCGAATGGGTTGGCCGCTGGCTCGATAGCTCTGTGCTCTTCGTGCGGAGCCGTGTGCCAGATAGGAGGCCACCGGGGTAGGTCTGCTCTCGCGTCAGATTGTTTGCACGCGTGCTCCACGGGCCGTGACAGGCAATTGGCTTGGATTTTGCGCGGGGACCATCCGTCTCGCAAAGGCTTCCGTGTCGACAGGCCGACGGTGATTTCGGAGGCATCGAGGGCCTGGCTGGCACCCAAGATGGGGTTGGAGCAGCAGCCTGCCCTCGCACGGCCGCCTGCCGAGCGCTTGACGCCCGCGGCTCCTACTGGGATGGGGGTGGACTTGGCGAGGGGGTTGGCTTTGTTCGGCTTCCCAGATCGGGCTACGGCCGAGGCCCTCGGTGCCCGAGCTGTGGAGCGCAGGAACCGTGCGGCTCGAGCCGAATCCGAAGTGAATTCGTTTGAGTTTTAACCCCGACTTGTGGGGCGTCCTTGGCCCCAGGTGGCGACCTCTTTGAGGCCGATGTGCCGCCTTTGGTTTTTATGCATGCTAGAATGCGATCGCTTCCCCAGCGGGTGCCGGACTCATTCCTCCCCCTCATTCCTCCTCATTCCTCCTCCTCCTCCTCCTCCTCCTCCTCCTCCTCGACCTCCTCCTCCTCCTCTCCTCTCCTCCTCCTCCCCCTCCTCGCCCCCTCCTCCTCTTCCTCCTCCTCCCCTCCTCCTCCTCCGCCTCTCCTCCTCCGCCTCCTCCCCTCCTCCTCCTCTCCTTCCTCCTCCTCCTCCTCCTCCTCCGCCTCCTCCCTCCTCCTCCTCCTCCTCCTCCTCCACCTCCTCCTCCTCCTCCTCCTCCTCCTCCTCCTCCTCCTCTCCTCCTCTCCTCCTCCCCTCCTCCGCCCCTCCTCCTCCTCCTCCTCCTCCTCCTCCTCTCCTCCTCCTCCTCCTCCTTCCCTCCTTCTCCTCCCTCCTCTCCTCCTCCTCTCCTCCTTCACCTCCTCCTCCTCCTCCCCTCCTCCTCCTCCTCCTCCTCCTCCTCCTCCTCCTCCTCCTCCTCCTTCTCCTCCTCCCCCCCCTCTTCAACCTCCTCTGCCCCCAGCTGAAGGAGCAGTGCCCTGTCCTCTTCAAGAGGGTCGACGTCGCATACCTGAGGGGCCGCCTGGGCGTCACCGAGGCGGGGGGGACTGGCCGCTGGCCGTCCCGTCAGGCCGTGTCGGCCTCGGCTCTCGTGGATCGCCAAGGCTCGAGCCGCCTCGGCGCCTGAAGGGAGGAGGGAGGAGGGAGGAGGAAGGAAGGACAGAGGGAGGGAGGGAGGAGGAGGAGGGGGAGAGGTGGGAGGAGGAGGAGGAGGAGGAGGAGGAGGAGGAGGAGGAGGAAGAGGAGGAGGAGAGAGGAGGAGGAGGAGGAGGGGAAGGAGAAAGAGGAGGAGGAGGAGGAGGAGGAGGAGGAGGAGGAGGAGGAGGAGGAGGAAGGAGGAGGAGGAGGAGGAGGAGGAGGGAGGAGGAGGAGGAGGAGGAGGAGGAGGAGGAGGAGGAGGAGGAGGAGGAGGAGGAGGAGGAGGAGGAGGAGGAGGAGGAGGAGGGAGGAGGAGGAGAGAGGAGGAGGAGGAGGAGGAGGAGGAGGAGGAGGAGGAGGAGGCGGCTCTCGTGGGCTCGCGCCGCCTCGTCGCGGCGGCGACGCCGGTCGCGCGGGGTTCAAGGCGGAGCGCCCTCCTGGAGCCCATAGAGGACAGCCCACGGCGCCAGGCCTCCTAGATGGGGTCGGGGTAGGTGGGGTCGGAGGATCGCGCCGCATCGCCGATGCATCGCCGATAGGGCTCGATGTGGAATCCGATTTTCTCCACGCCGACGGCGCCGATGCATCGCCGACGTCGTCGATGCATCGGCGATGCATTGGTGATGAGGCGCGATCCTCCGACCCCATCTGGGAGGCCTCTAACAGAGGACAGCCCACTGCGCGAGATCCACACGAGATGGTCCAGTCGACAGCCCGCTGGGGACCAATGGCTCACGCGGTGTCAGAAGCAGAGGCCCGCCTCCCTCCGCCCGTCCTCGTCCGTCCTCCTCGTCCGGCCTGCGGCTCTGCCCCGCTCGTCCGTGCAATCGGTTCCGCCAGCGTCCGTCTGGCGATCGGCGGCGGCCGATCCCGGGCGGCACCCTGCGAGGTGCACGGGGCCAGCACCGCCGGCGAGCTGCTGCGTTGCTGCGTGCAGGCGGTGGCGCCCGCCCCGGCGCCGGACCCCACGGCCGCGCTGGCGTGCAGCCTGCAGACGATGGCGGCCGAGGACCCGGCGGTGCTCGCGCAGGACGTCCGCGCCACCGCCGCCGCGGACCCGTGGGGCGCGGTGCAGAGTTGCGCGGAGAGGCTGCAGCAGCTCCAGCAGGGCGCGGCCAGCAGGGGCGGAGAGGCGTTCGGCGCCCAGGCGCGCGCACTGCTCGAGGCGCTGCTGGGCGCCATCTGCGCCGCGCCGCAGCTCTACCAGCCGAAGGGGGGCGTGGCCGATGCGGCCTCCAAGGCCGTCAAGCATCTGCTGCTGAAGACCGGGTCGCTGGGCGGGGAGTCGCAGGGCGCGCTGCCCCCGGCGCACGAGGCCATCCTCGACCACCTGCTGGCGAACCCGCAGCTGCACCGCGTTCTGCAGCAGGTCCTGGAGAGCACCGCCGTGGACGTGCAGGGCTTCCTGCGCAGCCGGCTCGCGGTCGGCAGCCGAGCGGCGGGCGAGATCCTGGCCAGGCACCACCAGGCGCAGGGACGCCCCGCGGATGCCAGCGAGGTCCTCGCACAGCTGGCGGGCCGGCAGGACCCCGCGACCACTCTCGAGGAGCGCGCCCGCCTGCTGCAGCAGGCCCTCGCGGCCGCGCAGCAGGCTGCACCGAGCTCCAAGACCGTGGTGGACCGGCTGTCGGCGCAGCTGAACCTGGCCGTGCGCGTGCAGATGCCCCTCCATAGTGAGATGCTGCTCCTTGCCCGCGACGACCGCGTGGAGTCCCAGTGGCGAGAAGCGGCGGAGAAGCGGGCCAAGGAGCTCCAGCGACTGCTGTCCCTGCAAGAGCTGTACCAGACCGTGGAGTCCTTCGGGCTCTGGCATTTGGCGCTGCTGGTCATCGACCTCGCTTCGGATGTGCAGGATCAGCTCATGATCTCCAACCAATGGCTGAGGGTACTGCTCCCGCCGAACTGCCCATACACTTCGCGCGAGCTGACGCAAGGCGTCTTTCCACTGCTCATGTTGCGGCGCTGTACCGACTTCTTCCTCCATGCGAGCCCGCCTGGGCATCTGCCAACGAGCGCAGTCGCCTGTCCAGATGACTTCCGTGTGCGGGCCTCGCGCTTGTTGGACGAGTTGGCGCGCGCCACCGATGTGCATGGTCCACTGTGGGAGGCGCGTCGTTTGGCCTACATGCTCGAATACTCCAGCTGCCTCTGGCTGCGCGCCACCGAGACCGCCGCAGTGTTGCCGGAGGCCTCCGCCGAGGACTCACGCTGCCAGACATGGGTGGCGCTGGAGCTGCTGCCTGGACGGCCATTCCACATGTCCGCGGCCAGCGTCACGAAACTCTATTCGGACATGCTCGACCTAGCGAACTGGCTTGGCGAGTTCAAGGATATGCTGCCGCCCGATCCGAACGGCTGCTGTCGGCGGCTCAGCGAGGACGAATTGGTCGTTCACAAAGACGTGTTAGGGGTATGTTTCTTCCGTGGTCACGAAACCAATGTATCCCCAGTCATGGGTTCTCTTTGTGTTTTCTCTCTCTCTCTCTCTGTCTCTCTCTCTCTCTCTCTGGCTCTCTCTCTCTCTCTCTCTTTCTCTCTTCCTCTGTTCTGCAGAGCGGTACCAGGACAAGCTACAAGATTCAGGCAACCTAGAAGGGAAAGTAATGCACTGTCTGCAAGTACGCTCTTGAGACGTAATCGACGAACTGAGGGCAAGCGAACCGCACGCTGGTAGCAAATAACAGCAAGTCTAGAGAGAATCGAAACATCGAACAGCCAGCATATTGCTGTCTATTACCAAGCCGAAATAAAGATCAGGACCTGCTAGAGGCGAGCTGAACACAAGATGTGGGCAAGCTAAATGGTAATACACGGGCAAGTTTACGAGGGTTGCATGTCCAGTTCAAGGCAAGCGTATAATTTAAAGGCGAGCCAAATGCAGTTTGAAGGTTAGGTAGTTAAAGTAAGCTACAGTCAGGACGAGTGTTACAAGTTAAAAGTATCCCGACAAAGCAACCTAACAGCGATGTGTAGAAGCATATCTGGAAGCATTCCCCTTAAGATTTAGGTGAGAATCCAGTTGTAGAATTCTGCTGTTCTCGCAGTCGCAGCCTCAGCCTGCCTCGGCCTGCCTCGGCCTCAGCCTCAGCCTGCCTCGGCCTCAGCCTCAGCCTCAGCCTGCCTCAGCCTCAGCCTCAGCCTGCCTCAGCCTCAGCCTGCAGCCTCAGCCTCAGCCTCAGCCTGCCTCAGCTCAGCCTCAGCCTCAGCCTCAGCCTCAGCCCTCAGCCTCAGCCTCAGCCTCAGCCTCGGCCTCAGCCGCAGCCTCAGCCTCAGCCTCAGCCTCAGCCTCATCAGCCTCAGCCTCAGCCTCAGCCTCAGCCTCAGCCTCAGCCTGCCTCAGCCTCAGCCTCAGCCTGCCTCAGCCTCAGCCTCAGTCTGCCTTCAGCCTGCCTCAGCCTCAGCCTGCCTCAGCCTCAGCCTGCTGCCTCAGCCTCAGCCTCAGCCTGCCTCAGCATCAGCCTGCCTCAGCCTCAGCCTCAGCCTGCCTGCCTCAGCTCAGCCTCAGCCGCAGCCTGCTCGGCTTGCCTCAGCCTCAGCCTGCCTCAGCCTCAGCCTCAGCCTGCCTCAGCCTCAGCCTGCTCAGCCTCAGCCTCAGCCTGCCTCGGCCTCAGCCTCAGCCTGCCTCAGCCTCAGCCTGCATCAGCCTCAGCCTCAGCCTCAGCCTGCCTCAGCCATCAGCCTGCCTCAGCCTCAGCCTCAGCCTGCCTCAGCCTCAGCCTCAGCCTGCTTCAGCCTCAGCCTCAGCCTCAGCCTGCCTCAGCCTCAGCCTGCAGCCTCAGCCTCAGCCTCAGCCTGCCTCCTCAGCCTGCCTCAGCCTCAGCCTCAGCCTCAGCCTCAGCCTCCGCCTGCCTCAGCCTCCTCAGCCTCAGCCTCAGCCTGCCTCGGCTCAGCCTCAGCCTCAGCCTGCCTCGCCTCAGCCTCAGCCTCAGCCTCAGCCTGCCTCGCCTCAGCCTCAGCCTCAGCCTGCTTCAGCCTCAGCCTCAGTCAGCCTTCAGCCTCGGCGTCAGCCTCTCAGCCTCAGCCTGCATCAGCCTCAGCCTCAGCCTCAGCCTGCCTCAGCATCAGCCTGCCTCAGCCTCAGCCTCAGCCTGCCTCAGCATTCAAAATGTGGCCCGGGAATGGAGTTCTGGGAACACGAAGAGCACGAAGTGGCCTACAGTTGGCTCCGGGCATTCAAAATGTGGCCCGGGAATGGAGTTCTGGGAAGTCGAAGAGCACGAAGTGGCCTACAGTTGGCTCCGGGCATCCAAAATGTGGCCCGGGAATGGAGTTCTGGGAAGTCGAAGAGCACGAAGTGGCCTACAGTTGGCTCCGGGCATCCAAAATGTGGCCCGGGAATGGAGTTTTGGGAAGTCGAAGAGCACGAAGTGGCTTACAGTTGGCTCCGGGCATTCAAAATGTGGCCCGGGAATGGAGTTCTGAGAGCGCCAAGAGCGATTTTGCGAGGATGTCTAAGGCGATTTGGGTGGCGGCGGCAGAGCGCCGCCGGATCCCGCCCAGATTCCCTTGGAGAGTCATGATGTTCTTGTGACCCTACTAGAAACCTATCAGTCTTCGCTGTTAGGTAACGAAGTAAGTTGCAAGAGAAAAGCCAGGTAATTATAAACCCACACGAAAGCCGACGAATGGTAAGCAGTAGTGATGCGAAGAGCAAACATAAATCAAGTAAGACGTAAGCTAAAGGCAAGAGGAGTTGACGTTAAACGCAATATGAGGCCAGCGACGAGCAAGCCACAAGTAAGGTGGACACAAATAAGGCATGGCAGTTCATTGGCAGGTTGAAATCGGAATATCGCATGCCGAAGGAAAGGAAGATGCAAGCGAAAGACACGCTAAAGGAGAACTGAAAGCATGCGAGTCACAGTCAAGCTGATAGAAAACTCACCAGGTAAGCTGAAGGCACAGCGATGATTCGCCAATGGCCAGCAAGAAGCAATCGATAAGCGCACGCGAAGAGCAAGGCAACAGCGGGCGAAACGCAGGCGGCTGTGCTCCTTGGGGAGCCGTGCGCGGAGTCGTTGAGGAACCCGGGGGGGGGGCCTTGCCATCGGGCCCCTCCTGCGCACGCGGAACTCCACACATGCGGCACAAGGAGGTGCACTGCCGACGGCTCCGCGAGGACCCCCCCCCCCTCAGGAATCGACCCCCCCCGGACCTGCCCTTTTTTGGTGCGCCCTTGGGGCCAGGGCTTCGAGAGGCGGCCCCGGCCGTGGCCACGAGGGGCCCCCCCAGATGACGCACCCCGAGAAGCCAGAGGGCCGCCCAGAGGGCCTCGAGCCTCGAGCCTCGAGGACGAGATGTCCGTCCACCTGGGCGGAGTGCTGCTCGCCGCGGTGCGCGCCGCCTGCGGTGGCGCGCCCTCGCTGGAGCGCCTCGAGGCCGGCGCCCGCGGGGCGGCCCGTGCGGCCCTGGAGCGCCTTCGGTCCCGCCTGCCCGCGGTGCGGGGCCGCGAGGCGCTGCGGAGCGCCGCGCAGCGGCTGCTGCGGGAGGTCGAGCCGCTCGTCCAGGGCTGAGCTGCGGGCGCCGTGAGCCAGGCTTGGAGCCGGGCGCCGGGGGACCGAGAGGCGGCGGGGCGCGGATCCTGGCCAGCAGGAGGGGGGGGGGGGCGAGGCCACCGCGCCGCCACGGCCGGACGCGGCTCGAAGGACGGGTCCGTGTCGGCCATGGGAGGGGTCTGGGGGCCAGATTTGAGCGCAGGTGCCTTCTTGACCGATTCTCACTGGGCGCATCCAGCTCAGACCCCCCACCCGCCTCCAAATCCAGACCGCCCCGCTGGTGCCGGACCCCGATGGGGTCGGAGGGTTGCACCACATCGCCGATGCATCGGCGATGAGGGTTGCGCCACATCGCCGATGCATCGGCGATGGGCCGCGACCCAGAGCCACATGCATCGCCGGTGCATCGCCGATACGGTGCGATCCTCCGATAACGTGTTCTGTGCAACCTCATCTCGGCGGCGTTTTTTGTTCAGTTTGACCACCCAGAGCAGATGTTTCGGAAACCACAGAACGGCATGAGCATAAATTATCGGAGGTCTGCGTGAATTCCTGGGGTCGGTGGTTCCGCGCCGCCCCTGGCACGCTTCGGGCGCCAGGGGAGGGGGCCTAGCGCCGATCCAAAAAATCTGCTCGGACCTCCGAAAACTTATACTATGCAGTCGTTTGGTCGTCTGGTATTGTGATGCCGAGCGGACAACACACACACACACACACACTCACACTCACACACGTACCCTTAGGGGGGGGGGGGGGCTGAGGGGGCCATGGGTGCGTGTTGTCGGATGGGGCTCCCCGCTCCAACGGGAGCCTCCCCCCCCGGTCCGTCAGCCCGCACCCATACCCACAGCCAGCCCTCCTTCCTCCGACACCCTCATTGGTACCCATCGGTCGTTGAAAGTAGGTATTTCTGGATTCCCAGATTCCAATCTATTTTCAGCGCCTTCCTACTTCAAGAGTCGAGTGGTTTTCCCTCTTCCTTCCTCTTCAGTAGGCGTGCGGAAACCCAATCTATTTCCGACGCCTTCCTACTTCATGTTTCTACCTACTTCTTCCGACCGATGGGTATGGGTGTGTGTGTGTGCTGTTCGTTCGTCATTGTGATGAGATGATTCGTCCCCGCTCTGCAAATGGGCCCCGGCAGCCGGAGCCATACGGGGGGGCGCTGGTCGTAAAGGGCGGGGAGACGCGCAGCAAAGCGCTGTATTCGCCGCCTCGCGTTGCTGCGGATGCGCCTCGCGCAGTAGCTGCGGCATAATAGGCTGGAGACGTGATCCCAGGGCCGCGGCCCCAAACTGTTCGAACCTCTCTGCGCTCGCCTAAGAAAAGTGCGCGCCTCCGGTCTGCGCCCTGGGCCTGTCGAGATGGCAGCACGAATGAAGCATGCAGGTGAAGATTGTCTTTTAGCATTGAACACGAAGGTGCAACTTAGCAGTAGAACCTGGATCATTGAGGCGATGACGGTTCTATGTGCACACCTGCACCCATATCTAAGGTCTACACGTGCATGTATATATATATATGGATACATATATATATATATATATATATACATACGCATGTATGCATTAATATGCATGTGCATGTATATCAGCATATCACAGATATCGAGAAATTGAATAAGGACGTGCATATTTATACCCAGCACAAGGGGCCTGCGGCGCCCTGTGCCAGTTGCCTCCATCATCCGCGGGGGGGGCTGGGACCCTTCGGAGGAGCGCCCCCGTCCTGGGGAAGCTGCGGGATCCCCAAGGCGACCGAGGGAGCCTCGGGGTGGGCCAAGGTGGCCCTGGGATGGGCCAAGAGAGCCCGACGGAAGCCGAGGAGGCTCCCGACCTGCACTGGTTCTGGGCAAGCAGAGGCCATTCAGCACCCGTAGGTTATGCAAGAATCTGCCGTGACCACGCTGCCGGTCTCAAGAGCGTCCTAGACGGCTTCAGATGCACACATGACCACACCAAGGCGGTCAAAAAGGGCCCCACGAGGCTCTCGGCGTGCCCAAATGAGCTCCAAGAAGGCTCACGAGGGCCAATGAGGGCTCCAAAATGGCCTCGGCAGAAGAATCTCGGGGGGGGGCTCTGGGAAATCCAAGACTCCTCCAAGATGGCCCCACGAAACCTCCAACCCATAGATTTTCTGCAAGATCTTACCTTTCTCGCGTCTCCGGTCTCCAGGGCGTCCAAGACGGTTCAAGAGGCCCCTGATCGCCCAGAGGCGGCCCAAAAGAGCCCCAGGAGCGCTTTCAGCGAACCAAAACCGGGCTCCCAAGGTTCACGAGAGCCCGCAAATAATTCCAAACCGAGCCCGAAAGATTCTCGGAGGGACTCTGGGCCACCCAGTGCGCCTCCAAGACGGCCAGGAGGGCGTCAAGATCGTCCACGACGTCGTCAAGATGGTTCAGCATGGCCCCAAGAATGCCGAAGAGGTTGCCAACATGCCAGGAAGTGCATTCGCATTGCATGACGTTGTTTTGAAATGCATTCGTATTGACGGTACTCCCGAATGAACTTGCGTTACGTTTCTTTGTTTTCCCGTGCCTTGGGCCTGGTCATCGCTTGCTGGGCGTTACCTTGCATGTCGAGGCACTGTCACTGCTTCCGTTTTCCATTCATATGGTTTGTGCTACGCTGCCAACGCAGCAGGTTGCATTCATTTGAACGAGTTGCGCCGATGCGCATTGTTTCGCATTCAGCTTGCTTGTGTGTACCCATGTCGGTAGTACGTATCTTTTCGGTCCGCGTTCGTCCTACTGCATCGTTTCATGTGGAGCCATGTGTGGGTACATGCATGCGTGCAGCTATGAGTATGCCAACGGCTGGGGCTTGCTAGAATCCAAGCGCGTGCGAAGCGCGCGCACTCATACTGGTGTATGAATGTGAGTTTGCGCGTATATGTATGTATCGAAGACATGTATGGCGAACCATCGCCGCCTTCTGCCTTTGGGAAACACCCATGCGGCCAAACGTTGGGCCAAAGCCTGACCAAGCTACTAGACTATGTGCTCCCCCAGCCGTTGTGGAACCCCTTGGGGGGAACACTGGGAAGAGGAAGAGAAAGGAGCGACAGAGGGAGGAGGAGGAGGAGGAGGACGATTGGGAGGAACAGGAAGAGGAGGCCTACGGAGGCCGCCATGGGGCTTCCAGGGGGCTTCGGAGGCTCCCGGGGGGCATCTGCGGGGACTCCCGGGGCCCTCGGGGCCTCTCGGGGACCCATTGGCCTTCGGAGGCCGCCTTGGGGTCCTCTTAGGGCAGTCGTGGGTCTCTCTTCGGGCGCTTCCTGGGCCGCGTTAGAGGTCGGTGGGGCCGTCTTGGGACCGCCGTGCGGGCCTCTGGGGCCAGCTTGGGGTCCCCTTGGGCCGTCTTGCGGGCGTGTCAGGGGCCTCGTGGACCATGTTGGGACGAGCTTGGGGGCCTATGGGGCCGTCCGGGAGCGTCGGAAACCCGAAAAGTCGAGAACAGTTCAGAAGCACCGACAAAGCTATCAGGACTCAATGACTTGGGCCGCCTGCTGGCCGTCTTGGAAGCGTCTTAGGGCCATCTTGGAGGCCATCGTGGGTCATCTTGACCGTGTTGGGGGCCATCTTGGAACCTATCCCGGGCGACTAGGAGGCGGATGGTGCTCCTTTGTGCGTTTTCCGTGTGGCCAGCGGGATGCACCGGCGACTATTCGGAACTTGTTGGAAGGTGCTATCATGTTTCAGATTCAAAAATACACCAAAAACATGCAAAAACGGAAAAGCAAAAACAGCAACAAAACATTGCACGCCAAGTACCCTTGTGATTAATACAGGGGGTGGCGGGTCGAAGACGTCTACGGCGAAACACCACCGCCCCCTGCATTTTGGAGTCGCCCATACGGCCAGACGTTGGTCCGACGTCTGGCCAAGCTGATGAACTACGTGTTCCCCCAGCCTGTGAAACACCTTTGGGGGAACACTGGGGAGAGGAAGAGACAGGAGGAGAAGGAGGAGGAGGAGGAGGAAGAAGAAGAAGAGCAGGCCTGTTGAGGCCCTCTTGGCGCCTCCTGGGGCCTCTAAGGGCCTCTGCGGGCTTCTTAGGGCCTCTTGAAAGTCTCCTGTGGCCTCTTGGGGGCCTCCTGGAGGCCTCTAGGAAACTTCTTGGCCTTCGGAGGCCGTCTTGGGGCTCTCTCTGGACAGTCGTGGGTCCCTCTTTGGGCGCTCGAGGGCCGTCTTGGAGGTCTCTGGGGCTGGCTTGCGGGCCTCTTGGGGGCCTCTGAGGGCGACATTTGGGGCCTACGGGGGCCGTCTTGGAGCGTCGGAAGCTTGAAAAGGTGAGAACGCTCAAATCCTTGAAAGGCCTTGGGAAACTAAGTGACGTTGGCATTCCTGGAAGTCCTCTTAGGGGCGTCTTGGGGGCTTCTTGGGCCGTCTGGAGCCCATTTTTGGGCCGTCCTGGGGCCATCCTGGCAGTCTTGGAGGCCATCTTGGATGCCATCTCGGACGTCTTAGAGGCACCTTGGAGGCCACCTGGCGCCAGCTCGACCCTCTTGGCGGCGATGTGGCCCACTGGGGCCTCGCGTCTGCGGATCTCCGGGCGGTCGGCGCGATCGGCCGTGGCCCCACGGGGGATGTCCAAGCATCGAGGGAGACGCCCAGGGCAGAGGTCGGGACCTCGGGGGCTGCGGATTGAAGGTTTGAGGGTTTCCTTTGCTGATGTTTTTGAGGTTTTCGTTTCTTTGCTTGTGCTCGAGGCTCGAGGTGTTCGGGCGTTGCACGAGGACGCGCAAACATGAGCGCAGACCTGGACTAGCGACGCACGGCTTAGCGACGGGGCCAGCTACCGTGCATGATCGGCGCGCCCCGTCGACCCGGATCGGGCGGCAGCGGCCTCACGCTTCGCGGTGTGCTTTCCCCGATCCGTGGATTTGGCGCCCACGCGCCAGACCCACGGATTCCCGAATTATTAGGGAACGAACAACGACATAAACATAAACACTCGGCGCTCCGCGCGGGTTTCTCGGATCGGCGCTGGACCCCCCTGACGGCGCCTCCGGCGCCG